ATCAGATTGGCCAAGAGGCAGTACTCCAGGAGGATCGCCGACCGCTTCAATGACAGCAGAGACACCAGGAACCTGTGGCGAGGGATGCAGACCATCACGGACTATAAACCCTCTCCGCAGACCTGTGACAGCTCCACCTCTCTGCTGAACCAGCTGAAGGACTTCTTCGCTCGCTTTGAGGCAGACAACAGCACCCCAGCACAGAAGACTCCACCACCTCCCGGTGATCAGGTGCTGACGCTTCCCCAGATAGCGTGAGGAGATCCCTCAGAAGGACGAACCCAAGGAAAGCCCAGGGCCCTGACAACATTCCGGGTCGTGTCCTGAGAGACTGTGCGGAGGAGCTCACAGATGTCTTCACCGACATCTTTAACACCTCGCTGAGACAGGCTGTTGTACCCACGTGCCTCAAAGCTACCACCATCATCCCGGTCCCGAAGAAGTCATCTCCCTCCTGCCACAATGACTACCGGCCCGGTCGCCACTCACTCCCATCCTTATGAAGTGCTTCGAGCGGCTAGTCCTACAACACATCAAGTCTGTCCTTCCCCCCGCCCTGGGACCCTTTCCAGTTTTGCGTATCGGTCTAACCGCTCAACCGATGACGCCATCTCCGCTACCCTCCTCTCAGCTCTCACCCATCTTGAGACTAAAGACTCCTACGTCAGAATGCTGTTCATCGACTTTAGCTCAGCATTCAACACAATCATTCCCCAGCAGCTCATCCACAAAACTAGACCACCTGGGGCTCAACACCTCCCTGTGCAACTGGCTATGGACTTCCTGATAGGGAGACCACAGGCAGTTCGAGTTGGCAGCAACACCTCCAGCACCATCACACTGAACACAGGGGTCCCCCCAAGGATGTGTGCCGAGTCCCCTCCTCTTCACTTTGCTGACCCCACGACTGCACACCATCATTCAGCTCCAACCTCTTCATTAAGTTTGCGGATGACACAACTGTGGTGGGTGCCATCAAAACGGTGATGAGACAAACTACAGGAGTGAGGTGAGCAGGCTGGCCACGTGGTGCAAGGACAACAATCTCCACCTGAATGTTGAGAAGACGAAGGAGATTGTCGTGGACTTCAGGAGAGTGCACACCCAGCATACTCCGCAACCATCAACGGTGCTGCAGTGGAGAGGGTGAGATGCACCAAGTTCCTGGGTGTGCACATCTCTGAAGACCTGTCGTGGAGTCACAACACTGCATCACTGGCCAAAAAGCCCAACAGTGCCTGTATTTTCTCCGCAAACTGAGAAGAGCAGGAGCCCCGCCCCCCATCATGCACACCTCTACAGAGGCACCGTTGAGAGCATCTTACGAGCTACATCACCGTGTGGTACGGCACCTGCACCGTGTCCTGCCGCAAGACTCTGCAGCGCATAGTGAGAGCAGCTGAGAGGATCATTGGTGTCTCTCTCCCCCCTCTTCTGGACATTTATAACACCCGCATCACCAGCAAAGCAATCAAGATTGCAGGTGATCCCACCCACCCATCTCACAGCCTCTTCAGTCTGCTGCCGTCAGGGAGGAGACTGCGGAGTCTTCCAGCCAGGACCAGCAGGCTCAAAGACAGTTTCTTTCACCAGGCTGTCAGGAGACTCAACTCCCTCCCTGCTCTACCATCATTCCCCCCCCTCTGCCGACCCACCCCCCTTTGCCCACCCACCCCCCTTTGCCCCCTGACCCCATCCCCCACACACACAGTCACTCGTACATCCTGATCTCTGGACTGCACATTGCACTACATCGCACTACCACACTGGTTTAAATATCTTATTTCTTTAAATACTTTATTTAAATAATATTTTACATTTTAAAAATTCTTGACTGTTGTTTATTTTAAGTTATTACATTTTGATTATTTATCTTGTGTTGATCGCCGATTGTTATTGTTTATTTATGTCTGTAATTGTGATTTAATTTTTTAATGCTTGGTTGCACCGTGGGACCAAGAGAGAGGACTGTAATTTCATCTGTGTTGTATGTCATGCAGTAACACACTTGACAATTAAAGTGACTTTAGACTTTAAGACTTAAGACTTAAGATCAAAAGCAAATTTGAAATATCAGCTTATCACGCAGGACTGACTCGCCGTGTGGAACTGATTGATAAAAAAATATAGCCAGTCAATTAAACAAAGTCTGATTCCTTTGAATATATTCACTAGCACTGGATTGAAAGTACGGACGTAAAATACACTGCTCAGCTCCTCATTTTGCGATAACAGAGGAGGTTGACCCATAGAGTCCCTGAAAGGAACAACGCGGGGAGAGGACTTGTATAACCAGGTATCTGCTGTCATCGAAAGAATGACGCTATAACGGATGGATCGACAAATTTAACTGGAAAAAATGTTGGGCTGCTGAAAAGAATCCAGGGATAAAGTGAAGAGAAAACCCTGTTCAGGATCTTATTTTCCTTCAGCTGCATCATCCAACAGGAATCCCTGTGTAAGTCTGTATTGCAGCTTAATCATGTCGTGAATCCAGTCGTAAAACTTGTGAACTGTATACGAGCAAGGGGACTTCAGCACCGTCAGTTTATTACCTTCCTGGAGGAAACTGATGCGGATCATCAGGACTTGCTGTACCACTCTCGTGTCCGCTGGTTAAGTTTGGGGAAAGTGTTACAACGAGTGTGGGAGCTGAAAGAAGATATCATCGCATTTTTGGAGTTGATGGGGAAATCTGACGAATTCCTTGAGCTAAGCGACAAGAACTGGCTTAGTGACTTTGCGTTTGCTGTGGACATATTTTCACACATGAATGAGCTGAAAGTGAAACTGCAGGGGAAAGATCAGTTTGTTCACGACATGTACAAACATGTGAAAGCCTTCAAATCCAGCGCACTTTGTTCTCCGGACAAATTGCGAACAAATCTTTTGCTCATTTCCCCACACTTGCCATGCAGGAAGAGGCACCGCGAAATGCAAAAAAATACATCAAATCACTTGAGGACCTGCATGGAGAATTCTGCCGTAGGTTCTCTGATTTCGAAAACATTGAACAGTCACTTCAGCTGGTGTCCTGTCCCCTGTCACAAGACCCTGAAACAGCACCACAGGAGCTGCAGTTGGAACTGAAAGATCTTCAGTCTGGCTCCGTCTTAAAGGAGAAGTTCAACTCTGTTAAACTGAATGACTTTTTATGCTTCACTTAACAGGGCCACGTTTCCAAACCTCCGGAGGACTGCACAGAAAGATACCGACTTTGTTTGGCTCGACTTATGTGTGCGAGCAGACATTCAGTGTCATGAACGCAACAAAGCCCGTCACAGATCAAAGTTAACGGATCAGCACCTCAGATCTATCCTGAGAATTGCCACAACCAAAATAACTCCAGACTTGGATGCACTGGCAAAAATGGGAGATCACAACACTGTTCTCATTGAAACTGAAAGTGATTATGTGTTGCTGCAGCGAGGTTGGAGCCAAATCTCCGCAACACAGTCTGCGTGGCTGCTCTAACCTGTTAATGTAGATAATAAAGAAGTTCAAGTGAGGTAATTGGTTTGGCACAGGGCTCAGATGTTTTCATGATGTTTGATCAGTCACGTTACAACATGTTTTGTATTGTTCATGTTCGTGCAATTTGTTAAATTGCCTTGCAAATAAATGCTTTGCTACCTGTTAAAGGCCACATCCTTTCATGTAATGATTTTTACATGTCATTTATATTAGTTCACACAAACACTCCAGCCACCTGTTCCTGGCCCGGCCCCTCTGTCAAATTTTAGAACCCATTGTGGCCCGCGAGTCAAAAAGTTTGCCCACCCCTGCGTTAGCCCCTACAACGTCGGCCTTCGTGTCATTCTTCACCACCTCAACCACTGGTGTCGGAAGTGGCTTCCGTGCTCACGACCATGTCGAAGTCCGGCGCGAGACGGAAGACTGAGCCTGGTGTATAGACGAACGAAGAGGACGACGAAGATCCCGGAGATCGGGGCCCCGGAAATGTGCCCCGTGGAGGTGGCCCGGCTGGAGCCGGAGGAGGCGGCGGCCGGGGAAGCTGTGGCGCCACCATCAGACGTGTGGCGCGGCATCGCTGCCCAGCTGGAGCTGCTCCAGAGGTCGGTGACGCAGAACGTCGTCACATTTTTGAAACTTGCCATTCCAATGCACTTTTAATGGACGCCTCTGTCGGAGGTAACTCAAAAATGACCATTTTCTCAGGCAGAAGGAAGGTGGTGTAAGATAAAGGATGCCCGTGACACACATGAGAGTAATCCCCACCAAGTTTGTCGTTCCATGGAGCCTATCGCTCAAATATTTACTTTCTTGAGTGTACATGCATCTGCTGGAATAGCCCGAGTAAATTTCATCTGCCGATAAATAGCATGTTCTTGAGGAAGCAGGGCGCTCAGTCATTCATAAATTAAGCTGGATTTGGTTTGTGGGTTGTTTCGCAAGTGGCTTTTTCAACCTTCAAGGGCATGCAGAATATCCCCGTGAGAAAACAGAAAGGAATAAAATTGCCTAAAAAAACGTTTTTACCACCTTCACAAATCATGGCGTTGGATTCGTCTTGAAAATTCGTAAAACAACCTACTACGATACATGTCCGACGTTTCCCTCTCTAGATACAAGTTAAGGAGGAAAAGCAGCCTTTGGGCCTTAACGGTCGCAAAAATCGCCCGTTACATATACATGGGTCGGCTTCCCCTCTCGAAAACGGACACAAGTCACCCCCCGCCAGGCATTCAACTAACGACAAATGTCAGTAAGTGGCATAGTTCTGCTTTAAAATGCCCATTCGTCTTGCGTTGCTCAGGGTAATGCCCGCCAATTTCTACCGTTTGTCGGTAGTTTATCGATAAAAATCTAGCATGCACCAAAACGGGGAAAACACCTTCCATCACACCTGCACAAATGTATGGACAGGCTGCATCTTCATGTGATGCATAAGTGGTGTCGTTGGCTGGTTGTGCCTCAGCAGGTTGTTCCCACACGGTTTCCGCGAATGAGCGCGCGTCTTGAGCTGTGTTTACTCTGCCCGAGGAGCCTCTTCTCCTCCAGAGTGTGTGGCGAAGGCTGTCCCTTGGGTCGTTGCTGCTGCACGAGTCGCTGCGCTGTTCGGTCTTGTGCCAAGGAACTGCGCAAGAGTGAGGGTTGGGTTTCCGTTGCTTTCAGTTCAGTTTCATTTATTAGGTATAACCCTGTGAGCCATGCAGATCTTGACTCGGGTGCAACCGCAACAAAAACTCTGAACAAGAAACATCTTAAAGTGACTACATGCAACGGAAAAATCCTGGAAAAAACAGCAAAGTCTTCCAGAGAAAACACCGCATTTCAAAAGTGTGCAAAAATCCCAGTGGGAATGCAAGTCACACAATAACAACATAAGACAATGTAGATTAAAGTTATCAGGCCAACTCTACTACAACGAACAAACATGGCCAGACCAAACAGTCCTCAAAATCACCAAAATAAAGCCATAAAAACAATGTAATAGTGATCATAGGATTCAAATTCAACAGCAAACGGTATAAATAACTGGTACGACCAAACCCCGCAGCCATAGCTGGCTGCATGAGTCACTCCATAACAGCAGGAGCATCAGTAGTAGAATAAAAATTTCTCAATACACCTTTAAAGATCAGCACACCACAATCCTTTAAAGAGCATACTTTGCAGTGGTCATCCGGAATGATACATTTGATTTCAGGCCATTCTGAATAGTAGTGGCAGCTAGGTGAGTGAAGATCTCACAGGTAGTGATCCAAGTTGCAGTGTATTGGTGATAGCATTCCAGACCCTGGGGACATCAATAGAAAGGGCCCTTCCTCCAGTATTTTCACAGCAATAAGGAATTTGAAGCTGGTAAATGAGCAAAGACCTTAGGCCACATTTGTTCTTCGAAACAGTGAAGAGATCCAGCAGGTAAGTCTGCTGATTTTTTTGTAAGTACATCGTGAATAAATAAGATCTGATGCACATCATAAAGAGAAGTTAAGTTTGACCCAATAGAGATTGCAGTGGTGGGTCCTATACGGGCAGTTCAAATGAAAATCTTAAGGCCGAGTGATACATTGAGTCAAGCTTCTTCAGTAAAGTACTGGGGGCTGATTTATATACGATGTCAAAGTAATCAAGTAGAGGCAGTATGGCAGCGTTTATCAACTCTAAGCGGAACCTAGGGAGCAAGCAGCGCTTGTGTCGATACAGAAAACCAATTTGTATTTTGTTTTTTACCAATATAATCAATGTGATCAGTTCAGTTTTGAATCAAAGATTCTTATAGATCTTGACTTGCTCTATTTGATGATTATTTAAGGAATATAATTGGGGAAAAATAACTTCCTGCTTTAGTCCTGGTGAGAAGCATAGCACCTTGGTTTTGGAGGTATTCAGGACCAGTTTAAGAGCAACTAGCTGATGTTGTAGTTTGTTGAAATCACCCTGGAGCTTAGCAATCATGTCATCCGGAGAGCGACCAGCAGTAATCAGTATCGTGTCATCTGCAAACAGATTTACCCTGGAATGATCCAGGTCAGTGGTCAAGTCATTGACATAAAGAGAGAACAAAAGGGGGCCGAGGATGGAACCATGTGGATATTCTGTTTGAGAGGAGGCCTGACGGATCCTTGGGACATTCTGTCTACAGGAAAGCCACCCACACAGATTCCTACTTGAAACCGGATTCCCACCACCACCCATCTCAAAAGAATTATCTCATCAAAACGCTATACCACAGAGCCCATGTCATTTCTGACCAACACCACCTGACCGGTGAATTAAGACATGTACATCGGGCCCTCAGGATGAACGGATACTCTGACCGCACTATCCGCCAAGCTGTTTCTCCCACCACACAGAAACAGCCACATGAAACTCCGACCAAAACTATCACGTTACCATACATAGCAGGCGTGACCAAAAAGATCTACAAAATTCTAAACAAACATAAGATCCAAGTCCGATTCAGTACAATGCATAAAATCCGTGATCTGATTCCATCTGTGAAGGATGTCGTTCCTGACTTACAGTATCCTGGAGTCTACAAATTGAGTTGCATTCGTGGTGATTGCTACATTGGAGAAACGAAACGTCATGTTTCTGATCGTGTCCGCGAGCACAAGTCAGATCTGAAACACGGCAGAACTGATTCTTCGGCCGTTGCCGATCATTGCTACAACTCGGTGGGCTCTCATTAAATTGTCTTTTCCGAGACCAAGGTTCTCTGCAAACCTCCTGGCTACCATCAAAGGTTTGTACACGAAGCCATACAAATATACAAACACAGACATAATTTCAACCGTGATGATGGGTACAAACTTAGTAATCATTGGAAAGATGTTATCAACCACGCAAAAAAGACTTAATTACACATTTTTGGACCATCTTATCTGACAGGCACTATTTTACTTTACCGAGTGTTAACATCCCCCGTGTTTAACAGTACTCTCTTTATTGTTCAGCCAGCACTGGTATAAACATGGGCATTTTCGTTCTTTTATCTCATGTGTATCAACAGGTGCTTGTACACACACATGTCCACGTACACTTGCACCCCACACTCTCTTTTGGCCTCCCCTCCCCCTCTGTCCAATATGTTGGCGTGTGCAACAATAGTTGCTTGCGCACAACCACGTCCACGCCGCCGCCCTCGTGTACCGCGTCGTCCATCCTTTTGGCCCCGCCCCCCTCCCCCTCCCGATACGTTCTACTTAGCACTTCGTGCCTTCTTTGAGCCCCGCCCCCCTCCCTCCCGATACATTCCATTCATTGGCTACCACATTCTGATGAGCTCCCCCCCCTCTCCTCCCCCCTCAACTTGCATTTAAGGGATTACATCTTGAATCCTTGCCTCACTTGATGCAGCAAATCTGGCTCTGACGGTCCCACCTGATGACAGAGACTTGTGTTGCCTCCGAAACGTCGTGATTTTTATTTATTTTACTTTTATTAATTTTAATGTTTTACCTACGTGACTTTACCGAAAAAACCTAAGAACATGTGGAACCCCTTTTGTTATATTAACACTGTTTGACCTCCAACCATCTGTGAATACAGTTTTGGGTGCGAGAAGAGACGTAACTTTTTAACCATTCTACTGCGTGTTTGGAGAAACAGAGGCAACTTAATTTACTAAGCAGGGTGTTGTGGTCCACTGCAAAGGCTTTGGACAAGTCAAGAAAAAGACTGGCGTAGTACTGCTTATTATCAAGGCTACTGTAAATGTGATTCAGAGAGTCTAATGCAAAAGATGTGGGGTGCTGTATTTTTTCTGGAACCCAGATTGTTTTCGATGTAATAGATTGTTATCGGACAGGAAACTGCTAATTAGGTAGTTCAATAATTTTTCAAAAATTTGCATCAACGGGGACAAAATTGAGATAGGTCAGTAGTTATTTGCATCATCTTTAGGGCCCCCTTTGTGAAGTGGATGAACATAGGAATGTTTCCATTCTAGAGGTACAGATGCTTCTTTGATGGACAGGTTGAAAATATGGGCTATAGGTCTAAAAGGAGGTGGAATTAAAATCTATGTTCGTAATACTATTGCATGTTCACCAACTCACTTCTTGTTAAAAAAATGGTGCTTTGAAGGTCTGGCTCTCAGAATAACTCCCAAATAATCGACAGTTATTGGTAGTGTGCTGCTATAGACCGCCTTGTGGTAAGGATGTTGAAGCTGCGTCTGCACTGAGAGCTTCTTGAGGGCCTCCCTAAAGGTGAAATAGTTTGTGGGTGATCTAAATTGGAATTGGCTTAACCCGCCGGCCGTGGCCACAAATTTTGCAGATGAATTTAACCTGTTTCAATTAATAAATGTCCCCACAAGACCCAACCTAAAAAATCCGGGACAGTCCTCTCTGCTTGACGTCCTATTGACAAATGCGCCTCACAATTTCGCACTGACTGGTGTTCTGGGTAATAACCTTAGTGATCACCCTTTCATATTTGGGGCGAGATCATCAGCCAGACCCAAAGCCCCCCCTAAATTGGTTGAGAAGCACTCCATGAGACACTTCAGCATTCAGGCATTTACTAATGATGTGCTTCACTCGGATATTGACAGGGTCTGTGATATCCCCAACCTGACTACGGCTTGGGAGACCTTAAGTTACACGTTTCTCCAAATTCTTAACATGCTCCGTTGTTTAGATTTAAAAGTAAAGGCAACCGCCCACCATAATTTGATCCTTTGATTACTAAGCTCATGAAATCTAGGGACAAGGCTTGGGCATGTGCTCAGAAAAGTAATTTGGTCAATGGCTAGAATACAAGATTCTAAGGAATATATTTATCAAAAAATACGGCATGCAAAAAATGCTTACTTTTCATCTTCTTGGTATTTTCGGTAAAGTCACGTAGAAGGGAAATAAAAATAAAAAAAATAATAAAATAATTCCCACGACGTTTCAGCCACAACGCAAGCAGCCATCCTCAGGTGAAGAACAGGTCTGTCGAGAAGACAGTCTGAATGACACAACCCAGGCTTGGAGCGACTATTTAAGCTGGGATGGAGGGGGAAGGGCGCCTTGACAAAATAATTTGCATATCAAGAGGAATTTTAGCATATTTATGGGAAATGCAGATATGCGATTAGTACTAATTGTGAAATGCGTAGGAGGTTTGGCGGGGGGGGGGTTAAAATCATAGTATGCCCGTGCATTATGCAGGATTAGCAGCATCAAATGGAGGGGATAGGGGGAAGCATTAATAAAGGGAAGGAATGTTAATAGTATGTCGTTGCAGTAACTAAACCACCACGTAAACAACTAAAGTATAAACTACATAGTATCATCAGTATACTAAATATACTCTCCAATAAGCTGAGCTACTAACAGTAAGTAATACATTACAATTCTACGTCGCAAAAATATAATATGCTTCCAGCTAAACTTTATACTGCCATAGACAAATCCAACATTAGATTATATACTGTATTACATTGTAATATTACACTATGTATAATTCTACCCACCCTACTGTATATCACACTGCTGTATATTCACTATACAATTACGATACTATATATTACTTTGTACATTGTATTAAACATTACAATCTTATACTATGTCTCGGACCGCATCCGTGAACATAAAGCAGACTTGAAACACGGTAGGACAAACACCTCAGCTGTGG